GCATGATAAGTGTCCTTCGTCTTTCTTCAAACCGGAAAATCATCAATGCATTGGATGCAGAGTGTTTCTGAAAGGTGCACCAATTCTGACTTCGGACGGATCAGTGCAATATTCAAACAGAGGTAAGTGGTATATACATTCAAGTGCCATGTGCTTGCTGCAAAAAAGATGCCCGGTACTTCATTTCGGTGTTTTTATATTGTTCTTGTCCTTCGGGACAATTGACTCCCGATCATTAAGTGTTGAATACAGTTTAAGCCAGTGATAGGAGTATGTAGGATGTTGCAATTTTGCGTGTTCTGTCGTGAATTGACCAAGTCTGCTAATTGTAATGTTTTCATTCCTTCCGAGTGATTTTTCCTTTTCTAGATTTTAATCTTGACAACAGCAGGTGCCAAGTGATATGGGACAGGCGTGTTGTTTCAGTTTCCCGGAGTTGCCGGATCATTGATTACTACACATACATACAATGTTAAAAATTGAATACTGCAGACGCAGGTGCTATGGGGGAAATATGGAAAATAGCAATAACACAATTATAAAGTCAAGCAATAATATTTTACCCTAAAAGATATTTACTTTCGATGTGGCCATGTCCTGTGACGTTTAAGATACGACACGTGCACTGATGCCCAATTCATACAATTTTTATCAATATTTTTGCTTTTACTAAACCGATTTTGACAAGTTCAGGCGCAGAGTACCCGTAATTGTACGAGCTATCCACGGAGTATTAACATTATGAAAATCCAAAACTACTTTCTAAGGACATTCTGGTACAGTTATTTTTCATAGGTGCGACCGAGGGATACGATAAACAATCGAAGATAATAAAAACTAGCGATTTCTAGCAAGTCCTCTGTTCTCAAATTACATACTAGTGTCCTTCAAAATAGAGCAAGGTGATGCTTTAACAATATTCTCGAAGCTGATAGTCATAGAAACATATTTGAAACCGGATTTACTGAATCTTTTCTATTATCTGATAATCGATAATGAAAAAGAGCATCATCACAGTAAATTTGCTTTCTTTAAGACGTTGATTGTTCCGTGAACCGTATCCATTACAAAGCAGATTGTTCCGTGTACCTTATCCATTGCAAAGCAGATTGGTATGTGAACTGTATCCTTTACAAAGCATATTGTTCCGTGTAATGTATCTAATAAAATGCAAATTGTTCCGTGCACCGTATTCATTACAAAGCAGTTTGTTTCGTGTACTGTATCGAAAAAAAGCAGATTGTTTCGTGTACCTTATCCATTACAAATCAGATTGTTTCGTGTACCGTATCCATTACAAAGCAGATTGTTCCGTGAACCTTATACATTTTACAAAGCAAATTGTTCCGTGTAATGTATCCAATAGAAAGCAGATTGTTCTGTGTACAGAATCCATTAAAAGCAGATTGTTTCATGTACCTTTTCCATTAAAAGCAGATTGTTCCGTGTACCTTATCCATTGCAAAACAGATTGTTCGTGTACTGTATCCAATAAAAAGCAGATTGTTCTGTGTACCGTATCCATTTAAAGCAGATTGTTCCGTGTACCTTATTCATTAAAAAGCAAATTGTTTCGTGTACCTTATCCATTAAGAAGCAAATTGTTCCGTATATCGTATCCATTAAGAATCAAATTGTTCCGTACCGTACAATCATACCATTACGGAAATATGCCTAAAAGGTAATTTCTTAATTGCAATAATAAATCTATAAAAGCTATTACATATATTTCTATCAAAGAAATGAAAGTACGGTGGCGTAAAGGTGACATTTACATTATTATTTATTTCGTGGCCACTACTTATTATCTTGTGGCCTTAAAATATTATCTCGTGGCGACGACTTATTGTTATTATATTGTGGTCTTAAGATATCATCTTGTTGCCACAACTTATTATAGCCAAAAAAATGTCAGTTTTTATTGTTCCTTCTTCATCAATCAAATTTCGCTGACGTTTTCACCTGTCTTCTGCAAAGTAAGTTTCCGTTTGGTTAATGATCACAAGTGTTCATCTAATTGTGCGCAGTTTGTTTTTTTTTTTTATTAAATTTCGGGTCATTTTATTCTTTCCGGTATTGTGTTAATTCATACTCCGACGTGGAGAATCCCGCGGTTTTTGTATGAAGAAGGTCAGACGCTCGCATTGATTTTCCCATAGATTACATTATGAGAAAATGTCCATAATTTTACCTTAAAAATTTCATGCTAAAGAGATGATTTATTTCTATGAATGAAATGGTTGATACATTAAAATGATCTTGTTATATAGGTGTGGCCAACCAATCTTCTTTGCAGAGGATTTCATCTCAAACATTCTACAGTGCTTCCATGCAATAGTTGTATACAAGTTGTTAACTGGAGTCTGCAAGTGAAGATACTAATAACACTATTTTGGAGGAAAATGCTGCTTCGCATATGTATTTTATACAAAAAAAACATGCATATGGCTGTTAATTTGATGAACTTTATAGGGAACATACCCACAGGGGTACTTCATTTATATAGACTTGTATAGGACTTGTCGCATAGTCCAATACTCGTTAACCTGTAACAATGAAATTCATACTTGCAGACACCTTGATGAGTTCTACCTACCATATACATTTACATTTTTAAGTCACAGGGACTTGATATCTCAAACATTCAACGGGCTATATAGGAAAAGTGCGGGACAAGTTGTTGTTTCCTTGAGCAAGAAACTTTACACTCATTGCTCAGTAGTGGTTGGTTCCAGGAACGGCTTCGAAAGTGTGTCTATAAGCTTATAGCTTCCTTCACAATCGAACTAAAATATATCATGTATAAACCAAAGTGCGGATACATAGGAACTTGATTCGTTCTATATGGATACATCTTGATATAACTAGTCCCGAGATGACCCTTTGGGGGCAATTACCCCCTTATAATGAATGTAATATTCCTTGTCTTTGTTAATTTCATTAATTATCCAGGTTGTTGTAAAACTTAGAGAGCTTCCAGTTTGAATTTTAACAAACCAAATGAAATAGAAATGGCAAAGGAACCCGTGACTAGCCTTTTACTTCGACTATTCGATAAAATAAATATAGCTATTGTAGTCACTCAAGCGTCGGCGTCGGTGTCGGCGTAACCATTTATGTTAAAATTTTTGTAATACCTCAATGTGTTGATTTATTATGTTCCATATAGTAAAATCACTATCGGAACCCTCATTATGTAATACGGAGCGGCTTTCAGCTTTTATAAGGTTATGTGAATGTTATTTTTAAATAAATCGTTTCATAATTATAGTTGTCAAATTAAAAGAATTATTGTGGAAAAAGACATTTGCCGTCGATAAAAATTAAGGAAAACCCTCTGTACCTCAAATCTACCGGTCCACTCTCTAAGTGGACAATTTGTTTCCCGATCTTCTATTTTTATGTCCCCTTTCAAAGAAGTGGGGGTATATTGCTTTGCATTTGTCTCCGTCGGTCAGTAGACCAAAACGTTTTCGGTCAATAACTAAAGAACGCTCAGGCCTAGAAACCTCAAACTTGGTATGATTATTGTCCATGACCAGAAGATGACCCTCGTTGATATTGGGGTCAAAGGTCAAGGTTATATTGACATTGTAAGTAAAAACGGTTTCCGATCAATAAATTAATAACGCCTAGGCCTAGGAACTTCAAACTTGGTATGGTTATTGCTCATGGTCAGTAGATAACCCTAAATGATTTTGGGCCAAGTGCTTAAAGGTTAAGGTCACATTGACCTTGTTGGGAAAAAAAACGTTTTTCGATCAATAACTGAAGAACGCGTAGGTCTACGAACTTCAAACTTGGTAGGTTGATTTTTTATGATCAGTTTGAAAGATTTTGGGTCAAGGGGTTAAAGGCCAAAGGCGTATTGACACATTTTACGATCAATAACTAAAGAACATTTAGACCTAGAAACTTCAAACTTGGTATAGGGATTGCTCATGACCAGTAAGTGACCCCTATTGATTTTTAGGTCAAAGGTCAGGGTTACATTGACCTTGTTTGTAAAAATGGTTTCCGATCATTAAACTGAATACTCGTGGGCCCTAATTTTGCAGATGCATTGGACTTGGCCAGTATATGACATCTATTGATTTTCGGGTTAAGGGGTCAAAGGTCAAGGTCACATTGATCACAATAATGTCAAAATGGTTTTTCTATCAATTACTGCACAATCCATGAATCCTTGACCTTAAAACTTCACAGATGCATTGTTTTTGGTCAAAGATTGATCTCAATGAATTCTTGGGATCAAGAGGTCAGACGCTTTCTGATCAATATCTCAACAACTCATAGGCCCTTTACCTTCAAACTTCCCAGGTGCCATGGTCTTGGCCAGTAGATAACCCCTGTTGATTTAAGGGTCAGAGGTCAAAGTCATATTGACTTTGTACGTAAACACAGTTTCCAACCAATAACTCAACAACTCAAGTTTATTCAACTAATAATGCTTTTGGTATACACATTTCAAGGCCTAATGTAAGGAAAGATATTGGCTGTAATTAAGGAGGCCAGCATGATTCATAAAAGCTTTGCATATATTATTTCGAAAGATTTGTGATAACTTTGTCATAAAATTGCTGCTCACAACCTTTACGGTCACAATTATATAGTGACAAATCATGACCAATAGATAATACCTATAGATTTCTTGGTCATAATAACCTGACCACATGCCTAATTGGCTGCCGATAGGGGTCATACATGTTTTACAAATATATTTTGTTAGAAACAAACGTCACTGGCGTGTTATAAATAGCTCTCGGGGCGCTGTTTTGAAGAAGGCTTAACAGAGATATGATGCACTTTTAAAAGATAAAATTAATGACATACTTGGTTGAAATAATAGATAATTGTTTTTCCAACAAGAAATAAAGGCCAAATGCCGCTTTAAACCTTGACATTTTCTCAATATACATTGTATATCATAAGATGATGGTATAATTATTTTTAAAAAAAACATTTCCAAAAATCAGTTGAATTTCACATTATATTTCCAGACTTTAAGATAGACTGTAAAGAAATATTGGAGTTGGACAGGTCTGCCGTAAGTGGTGTTTATGAAATAAGACTTCGTAACTCAAAAAAGATACCAGTTTATTGTGACATGACAACAGATGGCGGTGGCTGGACGGTATGATCCTATTTACTTCTTTTAAATATGATACAAACAATAACGGTGTGTATAAAGAAATTGATACTAAATTTATTGACGAGTTTAATAAATCATAAATTATGGGAGCCTATGGCGAGCATTATATTATTTTGTTCAATGAGGTCAATAAATTCCGTGATGAACCTATGCAAAAATGACTTTAACTTTATAAAATAAAAATTCTAGCAAGGTATCTCAGTTGAACGATTTTTTACGCGGGTTTCGAGTGATTTTTACATGATATTGTTTTACTTTGTATAATTTCAGGTTTTCCAAAACCGGTTTGATGGCTCGACTGACTTTGCAAAAACAACGTTAAAATTGTACGAAGACGGATTCGGGGACGTTAATGGCGAATTCTGGCTTGGTAACGTTATTGTTTTAGGAAATAGAGCTTGATTTTGAGTTATTTGTGTTACAATATAGCACGGTATGGAGTTGCGCAGTAATATAATCTCGAAGGCCCGTAGGTCAAAGTGACTATTGATTACTAAAAATCAAGATCTATTTCCATTCTAACTCTTCAAGAAAAACAATTGTTTGACTTTTTCTCTCTTTTTTTTGGTGGTTAAACTTGTTTTCTCCTCGTAGTTTCATTCTGCAATATTCTTTAAAGGCTGTTCCAGTCGGTTGGAAAAAATGTCGTTTAATCTATCGTTTGCACAAACATTATGAGAATAACAAAATTTTGAAAAGTTTTTGGTGTTTATTTTATTTCTTCTAATATTTGTCAAGGTACATACAGAGTTTTTGTTATAATAGTGAAATAAAAATGATATTTAACTGTTTGGCAACATTTAAATAGCGTTCTTTTTTACGGTTTTCGCACGAGTGGTTTGTGTGATGTCACGTAGACATAACTTTAAACGTCTGTACAGCGTTTATGACAGAATTTAAGATATTGGTATTCGGATCGTTTATAGTTAGACCATTTGCTATCATTCTAGATAGTTTTCAGGGCAAATTTCAACAAAAAGTTGATTTTTCTAACAAAATTGCGCCGTTAATGTGTCGGTTTGCAAATACGGAGGGAGGAAATACGAACGGTGAGTTTTTCTACTGTGAAATATATCACGCTTCCGACCTTTGTCTATGCAATGTATGCGTGAAATCTCTGAAAGTCTCTTTTTGCTTCTTCTTCTCTTTCTTGTTTATTTGTATATAACTTGATTACATGCAATGACTATATAGACTAAGTTTAATATTCTTTTGTAGGTCTACGGTATGTTCAAGAACTGACAGAATCACCGACAGAACTTTGGTATAGTTTATCAGTTATGAGCGGAGAGACAGCGCATGAGCAGTATGATCGTTTTGAACTCGTTGGTAAAACGTACAGACTATCCATAGATGTGCAACCCGTAGAGAAATCAGGTTGATATCATATATTTTCTTTTAAATTTGATATCATTTAAAGAATTTCTTTTCTTATTAACTTATTTATCAACATTTCGGTTAAAAGTACTATGATCACAAATGAAATTCCATAAATATTCATGTGCGATATATTTGATATTTTAAAGGTTTGGCGGCGAGCACTGGAACATTTCTCGGATCCTTGGATAGAAATGAATTCACGGTTTATGATCCGGTAATGAATGAACACTGTGGCGGATGGTGGGGCTTTGATTATGAATGTGTTTATTTAAACTTCAACAAGGGGTACAGCGAAGGAGCGTGGTACTACAATGCAGTTCAAAGCAAGTTAAACACTTCGCGAATGATGCTACGAAGAAAATAGAACATGATTCTTATGGCTTTCTGTGAGACTATGACATCTTAACTGTTTTTATTGTTCCTGTTATCTGACAGAACTTGCAGTTATCTTTTGCATTCTATATTTTAAAATTTCTAAATTTAAATGTATGGAATGCGTTGTCATTAAAACGCATATTACATCATAGTTTAAAGCAATTTTTTGTTGAAAATGCGTCAATGTAAAATAGTATACCAATAAATACACACCTGCGCTCCAGTTACCGTGCAGTCTGCCGAGGATAAAACTAAAGTATGCTCTTTCATTGGGGTTTTCCGGGTTATACTAATTGTATGGTCAGAGAAAGAGATAATGAAAGAAAATGCATATTTAGATGCTCCTAGATTGTTTACTTTATATTGTTACGACAATAATATTTTTGATGATACAAAACAGAAAGGTCACCAAAACACTCGGAAATTTAATTTATACTCGTGGACTACGCCCACTCATTTATCTCAGATAGCCTCGTGTTCCGATTCTCTTTCTACAACTTACATTTATATAATAGACTTATAATGTTAAGGCCGATATAAATGTTGTTGTTTTTTTTATCTGTGAAAAGTTATATTGATCGCGAACATGGGCTTAACGGCAATGGGGTTTAATTATTTACAGTCGAATATCACTAACCGGCCCGTCTGTGACGTGTATATTTTCTACATACAAGTCACTGGCGGGATATACGGGGGCGAATAGCCTGAGTGAGATAAATATTACTCGAGTCCCTAGAAAAAAAATGCGCAGGGAACAGTCGCACTTCAATAAGATAAGGAATTTTTTTTTTACCAAATTGAATGTTCAAACATATTGATAACTTGTTGCAATGTATCACCTATTCCTATATAAACAAACATACGTCATTTAGTATTTCAATTAGGCACTTCGGAGATTAACTTTCAACAACACGTTTTGATATTAAAGATGTTCGCAACTCGAAAACACTTCGTCATACTTGTCTTTTAAACAAGTATTTATTGACAGCGTTTATATTTCATGTATTTTGTCGTCGCATTTTTGTGATTTATTTAATTGTATACTGAATTGTGGTATTTTTCTTGACAATTGACCGAAGATGTAACATAACCTTTACATAAGAAGAGAAAGAAGAACAAAGTTAATAACCATGGGGGAATTACACTTTATAGCTGTTTATCTAATCTTTCATTAATAACAGAGTTGAGCGCTTTTGTAAGGATAGCAATACCATTTCAGATGCTCAATTTGGCTTTCGTAAGATTTACTATTGATACAATATTTGTTCTTACGTCTTAAGTTCAAATTTTTTTATGTGGTAAAGATTGTGTGTTATTTTTCTTGATACGATTGTATGTTTCAATAATTTTATAGGAAATGATACCCGTATGCCCACTCACAATTTTAAGTTTGGTGCTTATGGGTGCCCTACCATTTTAACTGGATTGTGTCAGGGGCTGCGTTCTGTGAACCTAGCCTTGTCTTGTTGATCTTTTTTCTCATCTTTTATGGTAAATATTGTATAATTGTTGTATACACGATAAAATACTTAATGTACGGGATACATTTTTATTTTCAAATCACGGGTTAAGCCATTTTCCAATAATGATTATTTAATTATGAATTGGTCAGGTACCCTTTGTTTGTAAATAAATATGACAATAATAGAATACTGCCTTAGAATTAATACTGATAGTATCTTATAGAAAGCAATATATAATTAGCATTAAATTATAGCAATAGTGGTTGTGTAAACTAAGTCACAAAAGTAAAAAAAATAATATAATTATTGCTTATTGATTTTCATACGTTTTTACCAAGACTGAATTTTTGAAAGAGGTTTTAAAAAATCACATTTTGGATGTTGTAAAACAAAGATGGTTTGCTTATGTAGAAAATAGTTCCTTTTTTATATTATTATTGGAAAGATGTCAATAGTACATATGAATATGAGAAATATTTAGATATTTTATCAAAACGATTTAGATTCTATTTTTGTAAATTAAGAATAAGTGGAATTCAAACAGGACGATTTTAGTCGAAATCCTATTCCCCGTAATGAACGATATTGTTTATGTGGTAAATTGTAATCATTAGATATAGAAGATGAATATCATTGCATATGTAGCTTTTATTCAGAATTAAGAAAAGATACATGAAGAACATTTACATCACCAAAAGACCATCTGTTTATAAATTTATCAAACATTTCAATTCTAATGATAAAAATGAGACAATTAAAGAAAACATTCTAAGATTAATTGATGTTTGATATTTAAAATTGTTGCTAACCTCGTGAATGTTACTTTGTTTTATATCATTGCTTAATAGAGTATGTTTAATTTCATAGATAATAAACTGTGTTTAAATCCTTAATGTAAATAAATTGTTTGTTCTTGTTTGTTCTGTTCTGTTAAATCATTGGAGCTAAGTGGACAGGGAGGAATATGGGAATCCAAAGATAAGTGAATCATGTTTAAAGCATGTGTATTTATCGAAATAGTGCGTCAGAAAGTGTGTAGCACAAAGCACTAAGTTTATATGGCATAACGCACATTATATGTGTTAATATGCTATATATCAAAATTAAATATACAGAAACTTCATTTTATGTTTACTATAAATTTAATAAATTCCTTTTTATAATCTATGAATTCAGTTTATAGTATATTTTCGTATGAACTTTTATTACAGTCTGTGTTTTTTTGTGATACCATACACTGTGTCAGTAATGTTTCCGGCACCTCTAATCCAAATAAACAAATGAAGTAAGAAGAACAAGACCTTAAGTGCACTTTCTTGCTGAGTGGGGGATCTGAACATCACTGCCTGCCCTGTTCACCCTGTCTCGACCTCAGTTTGACTTCCTGTAAAATTTACAGGGTAGAACTGAAAAAAAGAAGATTTTTCACACATAGTCGTCAAAGTTCGATAAGGATATAAAAATGTGTATTCAGACCACTTTTTGAGGGATTGAAACACAAATGGTCATTATCATGACAACGGTTGTGAAACATGTAACTTAGAATAATATATGCAAGGTAATGGTCACTTCAGATGATAGAATAAAGATATTTTGTCCAGAGCTTATCTCCAAAACGCATAGAGGGACTCTAATAAAACTTCATGTAAATGTTCATCACTTTGAGAACCAGTATCATGTGCAAAAACCAGGTCTCTAGGTCTAAGGTCAGGTGTCACTTGGAGGTTATTAAAAAACGCTTTTCCGGAGGAAAAGTTCTATATACATAGAGGGATTTCGATATAACTAACACAAATTTTCCCCATTGTAAGTGCTGCATGCAAAATTCAAGTCCCTTCAACCGAGCTTAAGGTTACACATAGGGGTCAAATTTTAGATAACAATATAAAAATGTGTATTCGGACCATTTAGTCATCAATTAATGAGGGATTGTAACACAAATTGTCATCATCATGATTACGACTGTGATATTTGAAATTAGGTCAATATATACAAGGTCAATGTCACTAAAAGATGATGAAATATACAGATTTTGTCAGTAGCATATCTCATAGGCTACACGCTTGGCGGGATGAAACTTCACAGAAATGTTTTCCACTTTCAGAAGCCGTGTCACGTACATAAACCAGGTCTCTAGGTTAAAGGTCAATGTCACACTAAGAGTTCATCGAAAATGCTTGTTCGGAGCAAATCTTCTACATTCATTTGGGGCTTTTAATGTAATTTGGCACAAATGTTCACCACTGTGGGGCTAAGTATTGCCTGCTTAATCCACCTGCCACTAAAGTCAATGTAACATAGAGAGGTCAAAGTTAAGATTAAACAGAAGATGTGTATAGGGACCATTTAGTGATAATTTATTGATGGAATGTAACAGAAATGATAACTATCATGACTACAAGTGTGACACATGTAATAAAGGTTAATATTTGAAAGGTCAAGGCCACTAGAGATGATAAAATATCTAGATATTGTCCGGATATTGCCCAGAGCATATCAACTATATGTATATCTATAATACCCACATCTCTATCAAAGCTTTTGTGACGGGCGTATTTTGCGACATTGTTGCCCTTGTTACATCTGTTTACGAGGCATGAATGTATACGGTAACTAATTGGTTTATACAAAATTTATTTTAGTTCGATTGTGTAGGAAGCGATAAGCTTATAGACACACTTTGGAATTCGTTTCTAGAACCAACCAGTACTGACCAATGAATGTAAAGTTTCTTGCTCAAGAAAACAACGACTTGCCTCTGATGGGGTTCGAACCCATGCGACTAGCGATCATTAGATTACTAGTCCGACGCGTTAACCACTCGGCCATGCCGCCATTGCCGTACTCAATGATTTCACAGGCGAAGTCTCAGGATGAGAATTCACGGAGGGGACAGTAATGTATAAACGACGTTGGTAAAACGTCATTAAACTGATAATGAGCATAATAATATGCAAAAACTAAAGTTGGTGTCTTTGACAAAAGGGAATGTTTCCCATATATAAGGACACAAACCACTTTCGCTTTCATGATATGACCTATACTGTGTCGGTGTGACGTAAAACCCAATAATAAAACACAAAAAAGTATATAAGCAAGAATATTTCAGAAAGCTAAAAAAAGGGCCACGCCTTGGTCAAGGATTCTCAAAAGGACAATGGGAAGCGGCAAGTTCCGCAACGGGATGTTAACGGACACATGATGGTGCAATCTCCTACGCAGTGATCTCCTCTTATCAGTACAATCTGCCAAGGGAGGTTATTACTGTGAGGAGTTTGCTGATGATCGTATGATGATTATGTGGACAATTTTTATTAAGACACTAAAATATTGTAGATTATATCATGTGAATTACAGTTGGTTAGTAGATAACAAAGAAACATACTTTCAACTGAAAAGAAATCTGTTAAAAGTGTAATGGTTTTCATTTTTTGTTTGTCACTTTAAAGAACAGTATTGTATTGATATGTGAACAAAGAAAGTAAACAGCACTTACAGTACACATAAATTACCGAAAAGAGGTCAA